GACAAACTAGGTTAGACTCCCCCTGAGCAACAAACCCAGGAGGTTGCTCCATATAAACCTCTTCCCGCAGATCACCATAGAGGAAAGCATTCTTTATGTCCAGCTGATACATAGGCCAGTGATGAATAGCTGCCATAGTAATAAAGAGGCGAACAGAAGTCATTTTCGCCACGGGAGAAAATGTGTCACCATAGTCAAGGCCAAATATCTGAGTATAACCTTTAGCAACCAAGCGGGCCTTAAGACGGTCCACCTGACCATCCGGACCAACTTTAACCGTGTATATCCATCGACAGCCAACAACAGACTTCCCAGAGGGAAGGGAAACCAGATCCCAGGTACCACTTCTCTGAAGTGCACTCATCTCATCAATCATGGCCTGTCGCCAACCAGAATGTGATAACGCCTCACCTGTAGTCTTAGGAACAGATACAGAAGAAAGAGAAGAGAGGCAAGCAAAATGGGATGGTGAAAGACGATGATAACTCAAATTTATTAAATACCTGGGAGGGGGACGAGAATCACGAGTACCTTTCCGGAGTGCAATGGGCACATCAATGTCAGACGGAAGGATCGGAGCTGCCGGAGGAGATGATGACGGAAGTGAGTCCACAGGAGCCTCAGTAACAATAGGGGCACACTCGGGGGGGGGGGGGGGGCAGGGTCCTGGGGAACAGGGGGACGTTGTCGACGATGATAGACCTGGAGGGGGGAACAGGGACATCTAAAGAAGGAGATGGTGAAGGTATATAGTGAACTGAAACATGTGGTAAAGGTAGCTGAGTAGCAACAGAATCACTGGGATGGGAGGAGGAGTCAAAGAATGGAATAGACTCAAAGAATGTAACATCCGCTGAGACAAAGTAACGACGAAGACTAGGAGAATAACAACGATAACCCTTTTGTGAGCGAGGGTAACCCAGGAAAATACATTTATGTGACTTAGCAGATAACTTGTCAAGACCAGGACTGAGATTGTGGACAAAACAAGTAGAACCAAAGATGTGAGGAGTGAGTGGGTACAAAGGTTGATGGGGAAACAACACAGAATGTGGTACCTGATTATGAAGTACGGAGGAAGGCATCCGATTAATGAGATAACAAGCTGTGAGGACAGCATCGCCCCAATACTGGAATGGGATATGACCATGTAACAAAAGTGTCCGAGTAGTCTCAATTAGGTGACGGTTCTTGCGTTCAGCAACCCCATTCTGTTGAGGGGTGTGTGAACATGATGTCTGGTGAAGGATGCCGTGAGATGCAAAGAAGGTTTGAAACTGATGAGACAAATATTCACGAGCATTGTCACTTCGAAAAATGCAAATCAAAACACCAAATTGAGTATGGATTTCATTAAAGAACTTGTTAAAAATAGAAAACCATTCAGACCGATTTTTCATTAAAAATAACCAAGTACATCGAGAATAATCATCAATGAAAGTTACAAAATATCTGTACCCCATAGTGGAAACGGTACGACTAGGACCCCAAATATCTGAATGAACTAAAGCAAAAGGAGACGAAGACCGACGACTGACACGATCGGGAAACGAACTACGAGTGTGCTTCCCTAATTGACACGACTCACAAGACAAACTAGATAAATTTGAGAAACGTGGGACCATCTTCTGGAGCTTAGCAAGATTGGGATGACCCAACTGAGCGTGGATAGTAAGCGGAGAATCCACAACAGAGCACACTGGAACAGAAGTTGAAAGCTGATAAAGGCCATTGGACTCAGATCCGACGCCAAGTGTCCTCCTCGAGCTCCGATCCTGCAAAATGACAGACTCTTTAGTGAAAGAAATAGTACAGTCAAGGGATTGAGTCAAGCGACTAATGGAAATAAGGTTGAAAGGAGAATGAGGAACATAAAGCACATTCTCAATGAGAATAGAAGGAAAAAAGAGAACAGTGCCAATCCCTTGGGACTGAACCAGTGACCCATTAGCCACAGTGATACTGGGCAAGGGACCAGACGTACAGAGAGAGGTAAATAAAGACTTTTTACCAGAAATATGGTCAGATGCACCAGAATCGAGAATCCATGGACCAAGAGAGGGCGAATGCGAAACACCAGCAAAGGAATTACCCGTGTGTGCACTAGAGGCAGTGGTACCAGGAGGTGGCTGTGATCCAGCAATCAAGGCAGAGTCCGAGGCAGGAACAGTAGTCTGAGCAAAATGAGCGGAGCGAGGAGGGCGACCGTGAAGATCCCAACAACGATCAATAGTATGGCCCGACTTTTTGCAATGAGTGCAGAGAAAGCGTCTCGTAGAGGGTTTGCGTCCACGTGCAAAACCCTTAGAGACAAGGGCAGATGGGTCAATTGAAGAGGGAGCAGATACTGCAGGCTCCATAGAAGTCTTAGGTGGAATGCGAAGCAACGTAGACCAAACAGAGTCCAGCGATGGAACAGTAGTAGAGCCCAAGATCTGATCCCGGTTGACAGAATATGCCGGGGGCAAACCATAAAGAGCCATGAGCATGAAGAACGTGCTGCGTTGCTCAAGTTCTTTAGCAGGATCTGCAGCAGGCGGCAACAGTTCATTGAAATCATGAAGGAGGCCCTGAACTTTTCCCAAGTAAGCAGACATAGAGACATCAAGTTGTTGAGCAGCAATAGTAGTGATCAAATTTTGACAAACCCCATAGAGTCGCTGAGTGTCATTGGTATAAAGTGACTTGGCCTGACGCCAAACAGACTCACAAATGACGTGAGCACGAAAAATCTGCTTCAAGGACGAGTGGATGGTAGACTTGATGATGCTATATAACTGAGCATCAACCTTTTTCCAATGAGGGCGTACATCTACCGAGATGGACTCAGCCTTAGTAATGAGATGGTCAGTGTAGTCCTGTCCATCAAGCCAAAGTCGGAGATCAAAAGCCCAAGAATCATAATTGGAGCAATCCAACTTGTCGACGTGCAGCGGAACATTAACATAATTAGAAAAAACAGGCGGGTCAGCCTTTTGAGAACCCTTGGATGCATCGTGGGGTGACAAATCAGCCATGGGTTACCTGAAACAAAAATGAACAGCAACGAAAAAGCAAAGAAACGTCTGTGAATAGTGACCAGCAAGGGAAAAGACACCGTAGGAAGCCGAAACGAAGCCGAAACAACAAAATGAGGACAGATCCAAGTGCGCAAGGAGAAGACGAAGGGAACCGTGGTGGTACGACGGCCAACCGGAGTGGGACGCGCCGCCACGCGCCGCTGCAACAAAACGAGTTGCAGCCGCTGTTTGACGCGCGTGAGAGCGCGTGTAGGAGGATCTGAGGATGGGTCCCGGACAGAAAGGAGCGCCTTCTCGTGGCGATCAGATCGATATGGGTTTCACCGGAAAACTCGCCGGAAAACTCGGTGGACGGCGGTGGACAGTGATGCCTAATGGCGGCAGTGATCAGACAGGTCCGTAGACGATATATGGAAGCCGGAAACTGACAGATATGACTATTTCCGGAAAAAAAAAAAAATATTTTACTCAGCAGAGAGTGGTCCACCGGAAAAAAAACGCGGATTAGGATTCCTCGTTAGGCTCTAGATACCATGTTAATTATCAAGAGATAAGAGGTATTCATTGTAATCCTTGTTATCTTGAACTACACAACATTGGTGCTATTATATAGCAAACCAATTGAAGAATACAAAAAGACACACTCAATGTGGGACTTCTATACTATGTACACTCAATGTGAGACTTCTATACTATGTGCAGCAACAAACCCAATGACCAAAGGATGAATTTTGAGAGAAACCAGTAAAGGTATTACCTATATGTGCAACAGTAGCCGTGGAACCAGGGATAGTGGACCGAGAAACATATTAAGGAAATGAGCTAGAATCATCCATGGTCCAAAAATAGAATACAGTACCAGTAAAATAAAGAACCAAAGTCATAAGGAACCTCAATGTTACGCAGTAGCAAGATCGAACACTGGGATCAAAAGCACACATGTATGGAAAAAGTGACTGTATCTAATGTTGTGACTGGTGAATGATCAAATCTGAAATAGTAGCAGCAAAACCAATGTGGAGCGGTTGATCTACACTGCAAGCAAGCTCCTGGATATGGCAGCAAATGCGAACCGCTTCGCCTGAGAACAGGAACGAACGATTGTTGCTGGCTTCAAACAGCAGCACACGAACAAAGGCAACACGATCAAGGGACACGAACTGTGAACTGGATCCAAATGAAGTTGGTTGAACGAGGTGAAGACTGATCTAGAAAGACAACGGCTGGGCGACCAAGTTTGTCCTTGATCGACGGCGAACGGCCGCCGGAAAACACCGCACGCGCCGGAGGAAGGTGGCGCGTGTTGGCCACGCGCAGAGAAGAAAGTGGCGCGTCAGAGAGCGTGGGGCCACCTATGACGGTGGGTCCTTCGGCTTTGCGTAGATCGGCTCCTTCTGAGTCCGTTGACGTATGCTTTGACAAAAACGGTTGCCGGAGAAATTTTCCGGTGACAGAGGATGGTGGCCGGAATACTGTCGGTGTGACAGCTTCCGAAAAGAAAAATTTTACTCGATGAACAGTAGGTCCACCGGACAGACGTAGATTAAAATTTCTCTCGTGAGGCTCTGGATACCATGTAAAGAACCTTGGGATACATCACCCCAAAAGCTAGCTCAAAGGATGGGAGTGCCCAAGGTCTTATAAAGACCACATTAGTTGCACATACAACTAATGTGGGACTATATATCTCAACACTTCTAATAAATAATGTGGAATTTTCTTAACATAGGATAGATTGGTTAATGCATTGTCCATCCTTCGGGCCCTTTGGGTTTTTGCGTGAGAGGACATATTAGAAATATAACAAAAAACATTCATGTGTCTTCATTTAATGGTTTGAACTCTTGGGAGAGGTAGTTCATGATAGGGTATAATAGCTTTTTCTTTTATTTTAACACTTTGGTAACCGGCTTTAATTTTTAAACCTAGTTTTAAGCCAGTTTTGCTTAATTTGTTTTTAAGTTTTATTTTTGTCTCCAGATCTGAAGTTGAGAGACGTGAAACTTGTGGCAACATACCATAAGTGGACTAGATTATTGGTGATGATGTCCCAGAATCCGTGTCATGGGTGTATCAAATTGGAAGAACACCTTAAGCTGGCGAAAGAGATTAAAGCACATAAAGATGAAGTCTACGCTCTCCAGTTTCAAATGTCCGATGAAGCACTTCAACAAATGCCAGATTTTCAGGGCCGGGTATACCATATTAAACTTCTTTTTCAGTTATGCTTGAAAAGATATTCTGATAGTTTGTTAGTACTCAATCTTATGGTCCCTTCGATTTTATTTTACTCTTTCTCCAGATAGATGTTCTGAAGGAAATTGGATGCATTGATGAAGACCTTGTTGTTCAAATGAAAGGCCGTGTTGCTTGTGAGATGAATTCTGGGGAGGAATTGATATGCACTGAGTGCTTGTTTGAGAACCAACTGGATGAACTAGAACCAGAAGAAGCTGTGGCGTTAATGTCTGCTTTTGTATTCCAGCAGAAGAACACGTCTGAACCTTCACTCACACCCAAGCTAGCTGAAGCGAAACAAAGGTAAATTGCAATTGTCTATTTTCTGAAATAAAGTCTTTATAAGAAACACCTACAAGCCTCAATAATTATTTTTATGACAACATACTGTATGGTATCATTTCATTGTCCTCGGTCTTCAAAACTCAGATTGGAATCAAGATATGAATTCTAAGTAAGATGTATTTGTTACAGACTGTACAATACAGCAATCAGACTTGGAGAGCTTCAAGCACAGTTTCATCTACCAATAAACCCTGAGGAGTATGCCCATGAAAATCTCAAATTTGGTCTCGTTCAAGTGGTTTATGAATGGGCAAAGGTTTCCTTCTATTGAAAATAACACACTATTTAGTTCCATACTTTCATCATTGGTTTATGGGGCAACTATTCAATAATTTATATTTTCAATGTAGGGTACTCCGTTTGCAGAAATATGTGAGCTTACTGATGTTCCTGAAGGCCTGATAGTGAGGACCATTGTCAGGTTAGACGAGACATGTAGGGAATTTAAAAATGCTGCAGCAATTATGGGTAATTCTGCTCTCTGCAAAAAAATGGAAATTGCTTCTAACGCAATAAAGCGTGACATTGTATTTGCAGCTAGCTTGTATATTACGGGCGTATGATCATTATTGAACGTGTTAATGTTTATTGTAGTGCAGCTGCATATCAAGTTATGCTTTTGTTTATAATGAGTTCAGTGCATATTTGATATGTATGCTGCTCCTTAAATGTGTACCTTACTTTTTCTTTTTCTAACTTAAATTTAGAAAATAATTTCATTGCAGTCCTCATCATGTACTGTAGAATACTTATTGGCTATGTTACGGTTCACTGTGTTTTATTTTAAACATTTTTCGGTGGATTTACCTCATCATTCTTAAATACCTAAAGCATACGGGAGAAGATTTGGATCCTATCGTTACAATTTTTTTTTTTTTTTGTATACTAACTCTAATTACCTTTTTGAAGTGAGTTAGCCCTCGAGTATTTTTACAGTTTCAAGTTTCAATTCTTTGTATTGGCTATAAGATTAATCATGAGTTGAGACTTAATTCCTGTTAAAGTTTTTCGTCTTTCCCTAAATAATTATTTGGTAGGAATTGAATACATGTTCTCTTTCCATCCTGTGTTGCCAATTGAGCTATACTTATTGAATGAATATGTACATTTTTAAGATAACATTAGGAGGAAGAACTATACGTATAAGACAGAGTGATGATATATTATTGAATTGACCCTAGCTATGAGGACTATTTTGTGACCATAATTTAATGAGGAAAAGAATTCTCATAGAGATTATTTCTTTTATTATAGACACAAGATGTGATAAGCTCTCACTATCCATTAATTTTTTTTGTGTGACACAATTTGATGTCTCATTAGTAAGAGAACAAATTCTCCTACGATTAAAAAAAAAAAAAACCCTAATTTAATAGCAAGTGTTTTGACTTGTCTCAACTTTAAAAAATTGCCTCCATTGAATTTAGATTTTAATAAAAAAACCAAAAGTGGGTATTTTACTTAAAATATGTGCATCCATTTCTTTTTAACTATAGGTTAATGATGCTTCCCAGATATATACCATTCATGACTCACAATTCCAGTGTTTTTTTTTTTTCAAATTCCCGCCATTTAACTATCTTAAAATAAATGATAGTGATCTTCTAGAACATGCATTAATTATTATTTTAGAAACATATTATAATTTGTCAGTAAGGCAGCAGTTAAAGAATCCTAAATAAAAAACAATAAAAGAATAGTACCAAATAAAAACATTAAATAAAGTGTGAAGTATTTAAGTAATTAAAAATATTTAATCGTAAATGTTAAAATTTCTTTAATAAATTCCCTATACTCATTAATAAAAATTACTCTAGCCATCACTGTTTCCCCGCACTCCGGATTAGTCCCATAGCCGGCTCAAAGAGTCGAAGCTCGTGGGGATACCGGAGGGAGCCAACTCGTCTCAAAGAGATAATTAGGGTTGGGTAACTCCAAAAAAAAGAAAAAAAAGAAAAAAGAAAAAAGAATTAAAAGTTTCACTAAATTTTCTTTTCTTTTTTTAGATTTTACTGTCGAGAATTGTTGTTAAGGAATCAAAAGAATAATTATAAAACCTCTTAATTACTAAATGTAAGTAATTATTAAATACTTTTACGTTTTTCAAATATTAAAAATATCTTATTTTTCATTTTTCCAACTTTATATCAAATCAAATCGCATGACGTCTATATTGTACATAAAATAATGTTTGGTTTACATTTTATAAAATATACATCTTACGTAAGATAACAGCGACAGTAGTAAAGTATATTATTAAAATAACAAAAAGATTATATTTATAAATTTTTGTTTATAAACTCTTATAAATTATATTATGTCTGACCGACCACACACTCTTGTTTGAAGTTTAATCAATCATACTTAATATAATTTGTAAGTTTATAAGAAAAAAAAATTGTCAATATAACATCTCCCTTAAAATAAACCATCAAAATATTATAATAAAATTATATAGAGCAGGATTATACTTACAAATTTTTATAAATTATATTATGTACTAGTGATAACTTATTATTTAAGTATATATTACCTACCATACATAATATAATTTGTAATATAAATCATCTCAATTATATAATATAAAATGAGTTCGAGTGAATAATAATAGGGTTTTATAAGAGTTATGTTGTACAAAAAGTGATTGTGTAATATTATAGAAATTCGTTTTGCGTGCCGTAATTTTTTTTTTCTTTAAAAAATATGGGTCCCACAAAACATTATATGTGTAGGAAATTTTGTTGTGTCATGTTAAATGTTAAATGACAAATACAAACTCCATAATAATATTATTAAAAAGAACCAGAAAACGCACCCGCTTTCTCTCCTGAGCATTAAAAGAAGAAAAAAAACAAGTTTTCACGAACAATGAGAAAGGAAAAAAGGTTGTCGCATTTGACAAGTGAGTGAATAGTCAAACTAAAATGCGGTTCTACGAAGAGATGCAACGTTACCGTAGAAAAACACAACTATTGGTGACTCATTCCAATTAATGTCATTTCTTAACTTTCTTTTGCATGGAGCTTTTTCACTAACACATTACACACTCACTACACCAAAACCCTCTATTTCTGACATCATCATCATCTATTGCAAGCGTTTCATTGCCAATGTCAATGCTCATTTAACTCTCTTCTCTTCTCTTCTCTTCTTTCTTTTCAAACTCTCTTTTGCTTCTCTCAAACTCTTTGTTAATTTCTTCTCTCAAACTCAACAACACCACCACCTTACCATGGCAGAAGAAACTTATCGCCAAATGTATCTCCATCATTTTCACTTCCTTTTTTTTGTCTTTTCTTTTCCGTCTCTTCTTTATTTATTTATTTATTTTTGCTAACTTTTTTTTTATTTACCTCATTTTTTTTGAAGGTTTGAAACTTATGTTTATGATTATCTTATCAAGAGGAACATGCACCAAACTGCTGAGATTTTCAAGAATGAGGCTAACCTTCAGCTCCATCCCGATGCTATAGGTAAATTATAATTTATTCTGGAAATTTTTTATGTCTCAATTAGCATTAGCCTTTAGAGTTTAATTATCCATAGATAAATGTTCGATTATTCTTTACTAACTCTCTTTTTTTTTTTAATATTTATTGTTCAATGTCACTTTAGGTGGTGGGACCCGCATGTTTTGATATTTACCTATAAGCGTTTCAATATTTATTTTTTTAATATTTATTTAACATGATCACAAATTTTTTTACACACACAACATTTTGTGGGACCTGCATGTTTTGAAGAGAAAAAAAAAACTACAACACGCAAAACGAATCTCTATAACATAACATAATCATTTTTCTTACAACATAACTCTTATAAAACCCTAGATAATTGTATTGATGATTTTATATCATGTCTCCCTTAATGTTAAATGACATATAAAAATTTATATTTTTGTATATCATTCAAGCTTTTGTCGCTGTTGTTAGATAAATTTCTCTACGCATATCATTTTGTTATTTTTGGGTAAAGTTTTTCTCTGAATTTTATTTGGATAATTTTTAGGTGTGAAAGAAAGTTTGCTAGAAATGAATAAATTAGCGCAATCAGTTTATACAAATTTGTTTATTAGAGTTTTTCTTTTCTTTTCTTGATGGCCAATTCAAATCATAATTTTTTTTTATATTATTCATGAATCGATTAATTTTTTTTTATAACAATTATTCGATTAATTTAATTTGAGTTGGATGTGATTATATGGACAAGAAACTCTTCCTATCAAATTTAATTACAGTTGCATTTATTAAAGTAAAACAATCTTACCAATTAATCTATAGTGTTAAACCATATTTTTTGAACATAGAAAGCTTGGGGAGAATTGATAGAGAAAATGAATCTTCTCAGTTGCGGTGGAAAAATATAATGCTTAGATCCATTAAAAAAAGTTTATATATTACATGATGAGATGCTATATAAAAATTGATCTATCATGACACATCGTCAGAGATAAGTTAGAAACGACAATTTTTTTTAAAGAATTTAAGATGCGGTTACAATAAATTAATAAAATATCTCAAATTTAATAAAACACTCAAAATTAAATAATGTATAATTTATAAATATTATTTCACAACTAATTTCTAGATACAAAATTAACTTATATTATCTGAAATTCCCCTTGGACACCTTTTCCACGAGCGCATTTTCGATATAGTTATAGCACGAAAATTGGATGCGAGTGCGTTTGTATTTTTTTTTATTATATATTTAGAGAATGTTATATTTATAAATTACACTAAATATGACTGATCATATTTCAATCAAGAGTGTATGACTCATCAATCATACTTAGTCTAATTTGTAAAAAAAATTGATAATAAATTTTTTTCTTTTATATTTTCGATAATATATAGTGTAAAGTATAATAGTTATTTTATTTTTTTCTTGGAGACAATTGCAACTAATATGGCATATTCCTATTCGTCGGATATATCTAGTCCCATAGTATATTAGATTTTTCCTCTTCCTCGATTTAAAGGAACCAAATGAAGAATTCAAATTCTGAAGAGAAATTTTGCGTCAGAACCGAATAATTCTCATGCCACTCGACTTCAGATTAATTTCATATTTTTGGACTTTTTTTTTTCCGAAATGTGGAAATAATGACAAATCTAATTCCCATAAAAGGATAATTAAGGTCATAAAATAAATAAAAATTTATTAGGAACTATGAAGTGTGACGTGTAGTGTAGTTATGTACGAATTGCTCCGACTTATTTTTAATTTTTATTCTTGCTTTTTTTTTTTTCCTTCCCGAAACTCTCCCAAACGCTTAACATGGAAATATTTAATAGGCTCTCAGGACTAACAACACTAATTTTTTCTTTTTGATTTTATCCATGTTGTTTTTTTTTTTTTTTTTTTTAAGTTACCCAACTCTAATTATTTTGTTGTTGTTTTTTTTCTTTTTTAATTTTATCCTTCCATTTACATTAAGTAACCACTTAAAAAATGGTGGTCCATATCACAATAAATTCTCTCGCTTAACATAGTGGTGCTGTGCTGGAAAGAATATCTTTATCTGACAAATCAACGTCTCGTGACTTAATTGACTTTACTTGCAGTTTAAGGGTTTGTAATTACAAGTTTTTTTTTTTGCGTTAATAATTTTGTTCTTTCAAATTTCAGTTACAATACTACTGCAGCTTATGCATTAATGTTGCACTTGAATGTTCTTACATTATCTCAGGAATTATTAATTGTTATGTGACTGCAAAATATGGGTTGATTTTTTCAGCAGTAGATGAT